CGCTTAATTTTTTGTCATCTAAGGCTTATGAGTAATATTTTTTAATTTTTTATGTTGTTATTCTTATTAAAGTTTTATTTTTGTTGTAGGTTTTCGAATTCTTCTTGTTTCACATATATTTTTATAATTTGGTAGGTTGGAAGATTATTTACAACAGTCCATAAAATGTTTCTGGTTACTTGATTTGAAATTAACAATTGAAGTTCAAGTAAAATTTATTATTAAGGAATGTTCAGTTCTTTTAAAATAAACTAACAATTATCTATAAGCAAAAGGTAATATTTTCTTCTTAGTTTATGTTAAAAATTATTAAGTTCTGTTAAAATATTATATAATTAATAATTATTTATCAATAAAAAATTAATGTGTTTTATTTTGATTATTATTTTCTGTCTTTCCAGTTTATAATAATGTAAATTCTTGCATAAGTATCTATAAGAATTTCGAATTTCCCGCTAAATTGGTACATCCAACATGGCGACCTTTTGGGCTTCATTTTTGGCGTGGTGGGGACAATAGCATACGCACTCTAGATTATATATAAGACCTCAATGGGTTGGAACGAACCTAATATCTCTTGTATTGATAACGTTGTCAAAGTTAGTAAAAGTCACCAATTTATTCATAGAATTGGAAAATATCTCAGATTTCCCATTTAAAATAATTATAATATTTTATGTTTAAAAATAAAATATTTAGTGATATTTCCTAGTGTAAATCTAAACAAGTTTTAGCAATATTACTACTGCCCTCTTTTAAAATAATTCCGAATTATTTAGCGCCATCTTTTGATTTATTTCTAACTAAACAACCTAAATCGTTAATCGCCTTTGTTATTAAATGTCTTTTCTAAGGAAATATTTAATAGCTTTTTAACAAACAACGTTCCAACTAAATTATCATCTTAATTATTTTGTGAATATCTATGTTGTGAGTATTATTATTATAAACACCATTATAATCAATTGGATTCTGCGTAGTAACACAAAGGCTACAGACTACGTGATCAACGATTATAACTCTGATTGTATTCACGTTCAAAATGCAACGCAACACGTTTCTGCGCAAACTCCAAATGTGTCCCAAACGCAGGTTAACGCATGCGTTTATGTAAAATAACACCAAAAAACGAAGCATTGCGATTAAACGAGGTTTATATTAAAACATCATTCGAATAGAACGGATTTAAGTTTCTTGATAAATTATTAATCGTGAGTATTCTATTTCTGCGTATCTTATTACACATTTCATTTGTACGATAATATAATTTTACCACAATTTTTTTTTCTTTTTTAGTAATAAATATAAAAAGAATGAATATTGAAGAGGTGCAAATAAAAGAAGAAATAAAAGATGAACCAATTTTTGAAGAAATTGTGGAAACTATAGATTTTCCTATTGAAATTAAAGACGAACCAGATTCAGAAGACGATATTCAGGAGACCGTGTTAGAAGAAATAAAATTGGAAATAACTTCGGAACCAAAATATGAAGCCGTTGAAATCCCTGAAGAAGAATTGGCTAACTATGATTTGCTTAATCAAGGAGTTTATACCATAATTAATAATACAAATGATGATAATGTATCTGTACAACAAGTTACTGTTGTTCCAAAAGAACCCAAAAAACCATTAACAAAAATAGAAAAAAATAAATTACGATCATCATCGAAAAAAATGGTTAAATGTCAAATATGTGGCAATAAATTTTATAGCAAGCATACTTTAGCTTTGCATGAAAAAACACATAACATAAGCACAATTTTTAATTGTGACAAATGTTCGGAAGGATTTCCATCTTTAGGCCTTTTAATGGAACATCAAAAAGTGATGAAACACTTCAAGGCTACCGATTCATTCCAAGAAAAAGTTCGAGCTCTCAACAAACGCGTTTTCAGGTGCAGAGCTTGCAGTTTGGTCTTTTATAGTGAAAAAACATTTCGTTTTCACGTAAAAATTCATGCAGGATTACTAAAATATTCTTGCGATGTTTGCGATGATATGTTCAATACCATGAGCGAATTAGCTTATCATCGAGAAACTGTTGGGCACGGCTTAAAATGTCAAAACTGTGGAATAATCTGTGCAACAGTCCAAGAATTAGAACAACACCTAAAAATGCATAGCAAGTGGAAATTTTTTAAATGTTCTGATTGTAATTTTGCCACGGTTGTACAAAAACATTTACAACAACACCGAGCCACTAATTGTCCTGCACTTGAGAAAACGGTATCACCGATTATGTGCTCATCTTGTGGCCTGCTGTTTCAAAATAAGCATATTTATAAAAAACACGTTTGTATGTTACCGGAAATTAAAGGTGAAGATGCTGATATTGACGAAGGTAATGCTCAAGTTATTATTGAGGATTCATCAAACATTGTTACTATAGAAATGGAAGAAGATAATGAAGAAAGATAATAATGATCTGCTTTTCATCATTTTTCACTTCATATATTACGTAATTTATAAATTGGTTTCATTGTAAGAATCGTTAACTTTCATTTTTAATTCAATATTAAAAAGAAATGGGTGTCTTCAGAAAAATATCTTAGTATAATTATTTTACATTCAATGTTTTTTCAGAAGTGAACAATTCTAATTTTAAATTCAGTATCATCAACAAACGAAGATACTCTGAAGAGCTATAAGATTTCCAATTTAATTCTTTTTGTTAAATTTGACTTTTAAGATTTTTTTTTTGTTAAAAGTAACATTTTAAAAACTATATCACTTTGTTACTAAATAAAGGTTCTTATATTTATTGGCTTTTAGATAAATAACCTTTATAATACCCTGAATAAGATTTCATCAGATTTAGAGATGAGGTTTTTTTCTTTGGAATGTTCTAGAATGGGACCAAATTCCACGTTATTTAATCAACTTGGAAGCAAAATTTATTAGCCTTTGTGAGTTTAAATGAAAAGTTTAATGAAGCGATTAAGAAGAGTTCTTGCAAAGTATTTAAGACAAAGCTACTTTTTATTTTGTTGTTAAGGTACGAAAAGAAAAAAAATTGAGCAGTGATGCGAAAAGGGAGGCAAGGAGAAGATTGAGGCAATGGCGGAGAGGAGACGCGTTGGCGGACAGTTATGAGGAGGCACGAAGAAGGTACAAAGAAGTGTGTGGGTCAAAGAAAAGGGAGTTGAGGTTGAGAGAGGCAGCAAAAATTAAGAAGACAAGACGGTAAGAGGATGTATAGAGGTATTTGAAGAAGTTGAGAAGGGAAAGTAGGAGGTCAGTAACGATATGCAGATGGCGAAATGGAGAAGTCACTTTCACACAGGTGTCGAGGAGGAAGAGACGACTGATGGGGGTTAAGAAAATTACGAAGGAAGAGTTGACAACAGTTTTGAGGGGGTTGAGAAAGGGATAAAACAAAGCATGGTTGGAGGCGACATGAGAGGTGAGGGGGAAGCTGTTAGAGCCCTTGAACAATTTGTGGAGGGGGGAAGGGTTTCCGAACGGTTTGAGGATGGGTATAGTATGCCCAGTGTACAAGAAGGGAAGTAAGAGAGCAGTGGAGAGCTATAGGGAAATCAGCCTACTCAACTCGTCATACCAGATTTATGCGAAGATACTGCTGGGAAGATTGGAGGAAGAGATTGAGATCTTGCCGGATGGATAGGCAGGTTTTACGAAGGGTAGAGGGGCGATCGATAACGTCTACATCTTAAAACATCTAGTGGATAGAGAGTTGGATAAGAAGGGAGGGAAGTTGTATGCCCTATTCATAGATTTGAAGGCGGCATTCGATAAGGTAGTTCAATAGGGGGAAGTTGTGGGAGGAGATGGAGAGGAAGGAGTCACGGAGGAGTTGTGGAAGGGGATATACAGGGAAACGACGGCTAGAATTAGAGTAGGGAAAGCGAACCGTTTTGGACAGGGGTGTCCATTGAGTCCCAGCCTTTTTGCCCTGTATACGGCGGATTTAGATGGGAGTCTGGAGAAGGGGCAAATGGGAGGAGTGGTGGTAGGAGGGAGGTAAGATAAGAGAAGGAAGGTAAAATGAAAGATATGGGGACATAATAACGGAAGGGGTTCCAAAATACTTGGTGAAGGAGGGGAATGAAGAAGGTAGGATGTTGGTGGCTAGATTTTGGTGTGGTAATGAGCAGAGAGCGACCAGGTACTGGGCGGATGATATGGAGAGGTGCTATCGGCTGTGCGGAGAGGATTGAGAGACGCTAGAACATATGTTGAGGGGATATAGTGAGCTGAGAGAAGAAGAAAGGAATCGGTGATGGATGAGAGAAGATAAGGGAAGTTAAGTTTGGTTTGTCATGTATTGTACAGAAAATTTTTAGGTTTTTTTTACTTTTAGTTAACAATAAAAAACTCTTATACAGGGTGTCTCAGCGAGACCGGTCATTAGACGTTTCTGTGGTTCTGGCCAAACAAAAAATTTGAAAATGCAGACTTAAGTATTATCAATTACGTTCTCTTCATTTAAAATATTTTCAGATTTCTAACACCTCCGGTTATACCGGAAGTCGCCACCTACTTTATTTTTTTAAATAGACCACCCTGTATATTTTTACATATTTGGATTTGTCTGTTTTGAAGGTTTATAAATAACTTTACTTTTTGCAATTTGAACCAGCAATTCTCGAGTTATTCGAATTTTTCTAGAAAAATTTGCTCCAGCGGACATTTGTTCAAAAAATCATAGAACACTCAATTTTTGAGATATCAATTTAGGATTCAGAACATGCTTAAACAACATGATGGAGTATGTTTTGGTGCCGAGAACGGCTGTCTAGATCGTTTGGTCACTTTACTATGACACGTTAACTTTTCGAAATTTGGAAGCACCATAACTTCATTTTTTTAAATGGCACCCCCCATATTTTATTACTTAGTCGTCTTCGGCGTCTCATTTTACATCTTTTATATTCCATATGTCCTATGCCTAACATTAATAGTTTGAGAAATAATTAGGGTTTTTTGAAAAATGCTCACATATCATATGGATATTAACCTAGTGTGCCATGGAAAACAAATGTTTAATGACTTATTGATAAACGTCAAAGTCTAATTTAGGTTGTTTGATGCTTGTGAGTCTAAAACCAGTTAAAATGGATATTAATAACGTAAATAATGTTTATACAAATGAAGAAATCCATAATTTATTTTTTGTGCACGAAAAGTGCGACAAAGTTCTTAGTAGAACTTGCAGAATGTTTAATGAAAATTATCCACATTTATCTCCGATGACAAAAGGTAAATTTAGAGGAATAGAAGCAAATTTTTTGCATTTTGGACGAATTAATCACGTGTTAAACTGACCAAAAAATGTAGTAGATAATGCAACGGAAGAGGTGAATACCTTGGCTTATTTCGAGCCCAGTCCCAACACCTCAATTCGAGCTGCCAAAGAAGATCTGGGAATCATACTACGAACTTTGTCGCGCTTTTCATGCAAAAAAAATAAATTAAGAATTTCTTGATTTGTGTAAATATTACTTTCGTTATTGTTATCGATTTTAACTCGTTTCAGTACTAATATTAAGGGACATAACAGATAATTATTAGCTCACATGCATCAAGTGACGTAAACAAGTGAGTCTTTGACAAGAACTCATTGAGAAGGCTTGTTTTTCATGGCACACTAGGCTAAATATCCATATGATATGTGTGCATTTTTCAAAAAACCCTAATTATCTCCCAAACTATTAATATTAGGTATGGGCCATATGGGATATAAAAGATGTAGAATGAGACACCGAAGACGACTAAAAAATAAAATATGGGGGGTGCCATTTAAAAAAATGAAGTTATGGTACTTCCAAATTTTGAAAAGTTAACGTGCCATAGTAAAGTGATCAAACGTTCTAGACCGCAGTTCTCGGCACCAAAACATACTCCATCATGTTGCTTAAGCATGTTCTCAATCCTAAATTGATATCCCAAAAATTGAGTGTTTTCTGATTTTTTGAACAAATGTCTGCTGGAGCAGATTTTTCTAGAAAAATTCGAATAACTCGAGAACGACCGAATCAAATTGCAAAAAGTAAAGTTATTTATAAACCTTGAAAACAGACAAATCCAAATATGTAAAAATATACAGGGTGTTCCATTTAAAAAAATAAAGTAGGTGGCGACTTCCGGTATAACCGGAAGTGCAAGAAATCTGAAAATATTTTAGACGAAGAGATCGTAATTGATAATACTTAAGTCTGAATTCTCAAATTTTTATTTTCGCCAGAACCCCAGAAACGTCTAATGACCGGTCTCGCTGAGACACCCTGTATAAAGAAGAAAAATTGAGATTACCTTAATACGGGATCCTATAAAGACACGTTGAAATTGTACTTAAACTTTAGGTAAATCGGAAAGTAGTTTTAATTACTTAAAAAATGGTTGAACAACAAAGGCAAACGGTTAAACATGGAATGACCAAAATAGTCAAAAATATCCTACTGATACTTTATTGACTTTAATCTTTAAAATCGATTTTTTCCATTTCAAGATAACTTCCACTTCTACTAAAGGAACAAAAACTGAAAATTCACTAGTATAAGTACAACGGTAACAATTAAATTCAAATTCTTGGTAATGAAAAAAAGTTGTTACGACACTTAAATCTTCAAGTACACTGAACGTATTCGCGACAAACTTTTTTTTTCAGAAGTGTTATAATTTGTCCATTACGTCAATAAAAGATTAAGATTTAGTTAAATGGTAGAGGATTTAGAGGTAAACAATGGGTGAAAGCTAAAACTCACTTGGTTAGTTCAGTAACGGTACGTTAAACATTTTAAAAAATATCGCTAAAGTGAAAAAATGTCAAGGAAATTTTGTGATGGAAACCGTATTAAGAATTTTAGGAGAATTTATAATAAATGTAGTTAACTTAGTTACCAGCCGTACACTGTCGGTTATTGTAATCACGCGCGTACATAAAAGTTTGATTAATCCAGGCCGAGTCTGTTAAATAACACTTGTCTCGGTCGATGCGCCACGCGAGCGTATAAGGAAACGGAATCACTAATAACCTAATTATCACTAACTAAGTGATTCCTCATACAACATCTCAAACCTCCTAGAAATATGTACATCAGGCGTGTTGGGACCTAAGTATAAGTACATCCTGTACATTTCCGTGTGCCTCACAATGAAGGCACCTGTTCCAGAAACAGACAGCGTCAAATAAAAATTGGTACTGACGTTTAGAAGAGTATTGCCCTCTATCTCATGACACTTCACATACAACTTGGTTGGCGATCTAAAGCTTTCAAAAGGAGCAAAGTACAGTGTTGAGGCTAAGCCTACAATGTTATAACTCCAGGTGCAAAAATTAGCATCGCTTAATATTTCAACATGCAGAATTCAATTTGGGTTATCCGTACCGGTTGAATGAATTATGATGATGGGACCAAATTATAAGAGTAAAAAAATCGCCAAAATTTCAATTTATATGAGGTGATATAAATTTACTTTAACCTAATTAATGATTTAATTTATTTCTGATTATGTCGATGATGAAACTGAAATCCTTCCTTCCTTGTTTATTGTAATCAAAACCATGAAAACTTCAAGAAAACTGATAAAATCTACATATTTATTATATAACTCGAAATAACCTCATTCAAAACTTAAGTATCGAGTAATTTTCTAAAGTTCTCGTTTTTATTAAAGTTCATAAACTTATCATTCGAAAGTAAAAACTATTTAGCAACCAGTGTCCACAGATTGCACTATTGTGTATTGTTTGACGTTAAGCATGTGTGACCACCACCGTATATAAATATATACGGCTACATCAAATTTATTTGTACAGTTTCTTAAAGAATCTCGTGAGAAAAATGTTGTCTTCAACCGGTAGTATTTTTTTAGCAGCGCTTATCATTGCTTTCTCTTGTACTTTTGTGCAAAGTACGCCCAAAAAATATCAAACTGAAGAAGGGTAAGTTAAAATTTTATTTCAACGCTTTTGATGCAATTTGCTTTTTTGGTTGAATTTTAAAGATTTCAACCGAGTTTTCGTTATTATGAATCGTCTTTAATTACGAATAGAACAAACGAATCTCGAAGAAATGATTTGGAAGCTAAAGATTCTGCCGATAGATTGGAACGGTTTGGGTATGTCGGTTCTTTTGGAAATACCGGTAATGGACAAACTTACGGTTCGACTGGATTAGGAAATTCAGTTCCTATGAAAATCGATTTGGGAGGGGTACTTCTCGGTGCTTTAATTGGCCTAGGAGCTGTTTTAATTGTTCCAAAATTAACACAATTATTTTCTATGCATCCAAACTACAGAAGTAAAAAATTATTTCGGCATTTCATGATTTATTTTATTGAAATTATGTTTTCTTTTTAGGTTTAGATGATCAAAATTCAATTTTAACCGATATTATGGCCAGATTGGATAATTCTTTAGAACAAAATCATATTGATGGTAACTCATGTATGCAAAGAGTTATTTGTTCTTATGTGCATGAGGCACAAAAGAAAATTAAGGACGGCGGGGCGTCTACCATAGATGAAATAATCTTTTCAGTTTCAAAGTAAGACACCTCTTATACATAAAAGTTTTTAACTTATAGTTTTGTTCTTTTATGTTTTAGCAATGCTTTATTCAGTTTAATGCTAGATGGATCAACTATAAAACAAGCTGTCGATATGGGGAAACAATCTAATTTAGATCAATGCCAAAAATTGTATGAAAAATGTCCCCTAACTAAAGATAGCGTTCTGCAAATTTTGAGCAATGTTGTACCTTAATCCATTAACTTCTTTATTATTGATATTAGAATCTTGGGGTATTGTACTAATAAATTATGTTTTTATAATTATTATTAAAATTTCTAATAAATAATTTGTCTTAACCTTCTATAAGTTATGCAACAAAACATACATTTATGTATAAAAGATAGATGTCGCTTATTAGCATTAGTGACTAAAGTCCTAAAGCATAACCTACATTATCGGCATTTCAACCTGTCAAATACGTGTACATACAAATAAAATGTTCGTTTCGCGTTTATTACTCTAGTTAATCATTAAATAAGCGTTTAAAAATGGGGCTGTGCAAGTGTCCGAAGAGAAAAGTAACAAACCAGTTTTGTTTCGAGCACAGAGTAAACGTCTGCGAGCATTGTATGGTTACAAATCACCCAAAAGTAAGTACATACAATCTTAATTTTTGGAAATACTTAATTGATTCGCTTAACTTTCACCACAGTGTATCATACAATCTTATTTACAATGGCTTCAAGACAGCGATTACAACCCTATTTGCGAATTATGCATGAAAGAATTGAATTTGGAGGATTGTATTAGATTAACTTGTTATCGTAAGTATATTCGAAAACATGTTTTGGTTTTGTTCAAATAAAATGTACATTTTCTTTTGATGTTGTAGATGTATTTCATTGGTCTTGTCTTGATAACTACTCAAGACAACTTCCTTCTACTACAGCTCCCGCTGGTTATACATGCCCTTCCTGTAGAGCTGCTTTATTTCCCCCTTCAAATTTAGTCAGTCCTGTTGCTGATGTTTTAAGAGAGAAATTAGCAGGAGTTAATTGGGCAAGAGCTGGTTTAGGATTACCTCTAGTAAATTTTGTGGTTATTATTATTATGAGATATATTATTTTTCATTTTTTTTAGCTCTCTGAAGAAAGTGAATTAAAACCAGTTTTGAATAGAAACCCAGCTCCAAGTATATCACCTGGGCCACCTTATTCTGTGGTACATGTTGAAGATCAAGTTTCATTTAATAGGGAATCGAGTGATAAATATCAAGCACCAGCTAGAAGAGTATTTCAAGATATTAGAGAAACCAGAGGTGTTGTAGTTGACCATGATGAAGACAAATATAAACGAAGACCTGCTTCCGAATGGTTTAAAAGATTATGGAAGTATGCTTTTTGCAATTGAGGGTTAAAATTCCAAATTAATTTTATCTATTTATTTTAGAAATGCAAGGAATAATCCTAGAAATCGATCAAATGGCTCAATTTATAAACGATACTTTATGTTAACACTTATTATTGTTATCGCAATAATTGTGCTATTATTAACCATGTCTCGATTAAGTAGACATTCTTCGGATAATGATCCACTGTGGGATGTAAGAGAGAACCCTAATGTTCACTTCAAACAGGAAACAATTTAATTACATTAAAAGCAAAAAAAAAGCACTTTTATGTAAAAATTACCTGAACTTTTTGTTTTCGTTAATAGATCAGCATTTATGTTTTGTGTATATTAAGCTGTATTTACTATTACATAAAAAATACATTATTGTTTCGTATTTTTATGTTTAATTTAAATCTAAAACTGTTTTTAATGAATACTTCATGCAATTTATCACAAAATATTTGCAGAATTTGTGTTCATATGAGACTAATCTTCAAGATGACTATGTATTTTTATATCATCGAATCTTAAACCTAATTGGGCAGTACGTAATCAACCATTTATGCATATCAGCTGCATCAATTCACTTATTATCAAATCCTACTATACTCCAAGGTTTGTAAAGCGTATTGTGCCAGGTTGGCCAGACTCAACCTTTTCCACGTACGAAAATATTCCCCCCCTTAGATGCCCTCATCGTGACGTCACCAGATCCAGCCGCAATACACCGTAATACGATTTCTGTTTTTTTCATTGTCATTTCGGTTATTTTATATTATAAAATAGTTTTTTTTTGTTTATTACTGATTTTTATTGTTGAAAATTTATAATTAATGTTAAGAAACTTTTTAATAATTTCAATACCAAGGTAATTATTTACAGATAAGCTATGATTTATTATAACCCCGCATCAAAATTTGTAATTTTAGATGCCTGTTTCATGTGCAATTAAAAATTGTCGTTCGAATTATGTTGTATCAACAGTTATTGGTTTAAATATATCGTTTTTTAACATACCCAAAGAGGAACGCGTTCGTAAACTATGGCTGATGAAATATAAAGAGGAAGTTAATGTTACAACAGCAAGGGTCTGTACATTACATTTTCGTCCTGAAGATTTTGAACGCGACCTACGTGCGGAACTGTTGCAATTGAAACGTAGGCGGCTTCTAAAGAAGACAGCTATACCCACTTTAAACTTGGGAGCATCTCAAGACGACGTTTCAAATATCTGCGAATACCTTGATCCATCTACATCATTGTTAAATATTTCAAAAGAACCATTATCAAAGGGAAATGATGTAAACTGTTTATTAAAATCCAGTGTAGCACGTCAAACTGAAGATATGATAACAACTGATGACACAATAAATGAATTGAAACGAAAAATATGTGAATTAGCAGAGAAAAATGATGTTTTGGAAAGAAAGTTACGTAGGAAGGATGTTCTCATAAAGACAATTAGGCGTCAAAACTGTTTTTTAAATGGAAAAGGACAACGTCTTATGAAACATGTTAATTTATTATTTTTACTTGTTTACTTTTATTCAATAATTTTATTGATATCCATTTATTTTATTTATGTTAGGTATATCAACGCTAAAATCTTGGGCTTCAAAAATTGATATGAGACAGGGTATTTTACATCACATGCTACTTTTTCTATCTGTGGCTGGAAAAGGGTACAGTGATCAAGAAAGGCTTGTTGTTTTGTCATTTGACGAAATGAAAGTTGCAGAAGTGTATGAGTATGATAGGAAATATGATCAAATTATTGGTCCGCATTCACAAATGCAGGTTGTGAACGCCAGGGCACTGTTTGGATCTTGGAAGCAGCCAATTTTTGCCGGTTTTGATACAAGAATGACTGGTACTTTGTTATTAACATTAATTAATAAACTGCACGATATTGGTTTTGAGGTGATTGCATGTGTGTCTGATTGTGGACCCTCAAATCTTGGTTTGTGGAGAGAGTTGGGTATTACACACGAATCCTCATATATAGTACATCATACAACTACAAAAAAGATTAATTTTTTGGGGATGCACCTCACCTTTTAAAATTAATTAGGAATTGGTTGATAGATTCAGAATTTACAATAAATGACATTACAATAAACAAAACATACTTAGAAAAACTTATAAACGAATGCAACACAGAAGTTAGCAGTTGTTTTAAATTAACAATAGATCACATCACTTGTGAAGGCGCTAGAAGGCAGAATGTCAAGTTAGCATCGCAGCTCTTATCGCATACCACAGCTACAGCATTAATTCATTATTACTCTAATCAACAAGCATCTGCGCTTAGCAACTTCATTAGTCTTGTAAACAATTGGTTCGATATTATGAATTCTTATATTCCCGACCATAGCATTTTGTTGAAATGTGGCTATGGTAAACACCTAAATTTACAAAATGAGATTTTAAATGAAATGTACGACACAATTGGCAAAATGAAATGTAAGAATAAAAGATCACTCCAAACATTTCAAAAAGGTGTGCTAATGTCCATTAATTCTTTAAAAGCCCTATATGAAGATTTAAAAACCGATTATGGTATTGAATATCTTTTAACCCATAGACTTAATCAAGACGTGTTAGAAAATCTTTTTTCTCAACTTCGCACCAGAGGTGGATTAAATGATCATC